GTAAGCTATGAGTGTCTTGGGCACTGTAAGTGAATCAGTGTATATACACATATGTATACAGGGGGTGCGCGTGTATCCATGTGAGTGCACACATAAAGGTGTACGTGAGGTTGGGAGAGGATTCAGCTCTATTTTAAAAACAAAAGTCACTGTAAAGTAAGCTATTCACTGGGGGTTTATGAATTTGAAATGTGTGTTTCATGTTCCTTTACTTCTTGTAGAGGCCTGTTTAAAAAAAATGCTAATAAGGACTTTGTATCCTGTAATTTATATATTATTTTTTATGTTTGGAGATGATTTAACAGTTTTTTATGCTGTTTACAAAACTATTGTTTATGGCTATCTAATATAGATATATAGATAAATAACAGATCTATCTGCAAATATTTTCCTATATGCTAATATATAATTTAATAATTGTTATCTGCACAATTTGAATAAATAGACTTGAATGAGATCTCTTTATATGCCATTATTCCTTAGAAAGTATGGTTTTGTTTAGTTTTGTTACTGAAGTTACAGAACATGGAATACAGAAGGGTGCATTTAAACTGTACTGCTAAGCAGTGGGATGAAAAAAACCCTAATTGAATACTTTAGAAGTCCTGTTGTGACATTATTAATGATAGTAGCCATTGTAATGTCTCTGTTGCCTTGTTTAATTACATAGGTTAGCTCATTACACATGTATCTTAGAGAATTCTGTTCTAAGGCAGAATCTTGTGCTTCATTCATATGAATAGTGTTATCTTCCCTGCATCTAGCTTACAAGAAAAGCCTCAAATTAGACCTGTCTTTGGTCCCTGCCTTGTGGTTTAAGCCATATTCCAAGACTTCCCATACACAGTGGGCATAGAACTTTCCCCATTGCCCATACGGTTCACCTATGTGCTTTTTCCTTTTTTATTTGTGGAAAAATAGACATCTGCAGACACTCAAAAAAATGATTTTATTTTTTATTCCAGGTCACCTAGGGAGAGTCCCGAGGAGCTGAAGGCAGCTGCAGAGTGATGGAGGTGTGCTGCTGCACCTACTTGACGCGAAAGAAGCGTCTCTGCTGTCCTGAATCCACAACAGCCGTGGCCTTCTGTCCCAAGGGCAACTCCCAGGGAAGCACAGTTGGGTTTTAGGAGAAGCCACCTCTTGAACATCTGCTGGCCTTACGTTACTGTGCACTTTGCCTTTTCAAGAGAGACTGTCTACTTGCCATGGCTTTGCATACTAACACGCAGCTCAGTCGCCTTGTTTGCAAACTCTTTGTCTTCATAAAAAGAGTGGTTAAGAGGACAGGTATCTCCACTGGAGTCATTATGCTGCCTGCTGAAATGACTAACTTGACTTTT